CGTTCATGCCAGACTGGGGAGAGAGGTGTTGTAATAATGTAAAATATGTGAAAAATAATGTGTTTTTCGAACAACCTAGTATGAGAGCCTGTTCTAGTACACCCCCAAAACAAAATCAAGACTTTGTAAAAGAGCATAATAGGACCCCTTTAAGGTTCCAATCAAGTGCTCTCTAGAAAGATAATAATGTCCATCCCCCAATATCACCTTTGGGCTTGTTCGAGTTTGATCGGCGCTGCGCAGGCTGATCGGTGTATGACCTCAAAGTACCACAAGAGCAATTCATAAAGAGACGTCTGCTCTCCAATCACTCTCGCGGTACTTTGATGTCATGCGCCAATCGGTCTGTGCAGCACCGACGCATCTCCAACAAGCCTTTTTACTAGCAATAGCATGTAGCAACTCAGCATGTAGCAACTCATGCGTCTCAGCTGTGATGTAAACTAAAGCCTACTGGCTGTTTAAAAATAGGAGACAGTTTCTTCGATTTATCCTCCCCCAGCTTCCTGTTTCAGTAGGAAATCAACATGAAAGAAAAATGCATTCACCAAGCCATTTCATGAGGTCTTTAAACGGCTACCACAGACAATGTGTACGCACACACTAATGGCAATGCACACAGCCTCATTGAGGCTTGACTCAACCATGTGAGGTCTAATTGTTTACTCAAAGCAGGATACAATGAGAGCAGCCCAGGGAGGGATCCCACGTAGTTCCCGGAAAAGACAGCATCCCGTTGGCAGTATGCCTCGTCAGCTGAGTGGACAGGTTGGCAGAAGCACCACGCAGAGCAGGCGCAAGGGTCAGCACTGGGGATCCAGCAGAGCAGCGACTAACAATATGCACAACATTCAGAAAGATTACACAAAATAATGACCGAAACTTGCTCTGTCGCCTACAACGGTGTTGCGTTTACTCTATATTAGAGCATGGAGGCCCATGTCCTTCAGGCTGTGCTAATGTGTCACAAGTCAGAATGATAGATAGATAGATATCCCGTTATTTCAAGAACTAAACTTCCCCTTTGAAAATCACATAACTGATAATGATTCAGTTTTTTTTTAAATATATTTTTCCCAAAGATTACACAAAATAATGACCGAAACTTGCTCTGTCGCCTACAACGGTGTTGCGTTTACTCTATATTAGAGCATGGAGGCCCATGTCCTTCAGGCTGTGCTAATGTGTCACAAGTCAAAATGATAGACAGATAGATAGATATCCCGTTATTTCAAGAACTAAACTTCCCCTTTGAAAATCACATAACTGATAATGATTCAGTTTTTTTTTAAATATATTTTTCCCTTTCAAATTGAAAGAAAAATGTGTAGCCAGTTTGTTTCTTTTTTACTCTGATATCTAATGCAACCAATAAGTAAACAGCATTGTTAGGATTGTTTTTATTGGAATTAAAAAAGTGTGCTACTGCTAACACTTGTTTTTATTAATTTTCATGGTGGTTCAGTTGCGAGTTGGACCCCATATTATGAGCAAATCATACAAGTTTATTAAAATATTATTTAAGATTTAAGCTCAGGGATTATTTTCTCCTCTGGCATTACCAGGGTTTAATAGAATCAGAATTAAAACCTCACTGGTTGGAGAATGTTGTGTTTTAAAGGCGTAAAGCTGCTGCAAAGCTGGGAAAACTTGCTGTGTTGAAAGCTTTCCTGGAAATGTAGCGTTTGGAGATATCAGTCTACATTATAGCATACACTTATATATGTTTTCTAATATATTACATAATTTTTCTCACAGAATGTCATCAGAGGAGAAAAGTCTAGACCCCTCTGACAAAGGACCCTCGCCACCTCCTAGCAGCTCTGGGGCCACTCCCACTGGAAGTCCGGCCCCCACAGATAAGCGGCCTCGGGGCCGCCCTCGTAAGGACGCGTTATCCACGGCAACACCGCTTCCAGCTGTGCCCAGACAGAGAAAGAAGTAAGTTCAATTTAACTTCTGAATTGCTGTCATTATTGATGTAAATTGGAAGTCTAAATGTCTTCAGAAAATGAGGATCATTGGTCCTAAAAGTGAAGTATAGTATGATCTTATGAAATTCATCCTGTTGTTCAAACTCTATGTCTATACTGGAAGCAACGTAAACTTAAGGCTGTCAACATTGATGGCATTAAAGCTGCATGTCACCTCAAAATGTTCACCAACCACGAACCAGCTGGTTGCGAGTTTGTGGTTAGACTTCAGCAACTTTGCGTCCCATTTTATTTTGAAATGGAGGTCCATTGCTGTCCATTGGTGGGTTGTTTTTGAATTCCAAAAAAGTTTTGTTTATAATTTTATTATTTGTTCCAACATCTTGTATATAGGAAACCTTAAAAAACAAGAGGTTATTTAAATGAGTAGGTCAGAACAGAAACATCACAAATTGCTATTTGTGTAACAGTCAAAGTCAACATATTAATGTCATAATTTGGGATAGCGTCTGATTCTACCCATTGGTATTTCAATGGATAATGAAAAGTGGGTGTTATGTACCAGAATAAAGCAAGGTGGTCGGAAGAGAGGGTTTGAAAGGCAAGAAATTGCTGATGAAGCTGTTTTGGCAGCAGAGCAAGTTACTTTTAAATGAAAAAGTTGATATTTAATTTTATTCGATTTACATTTGTATGACCTTGTAAATGGTCAAGCTGTCAACTAATGCTGACATAAAGTTCATCTTTAAAAACACCAATAATTTAGTAATACTGTTTTAAATGCAATCTTCAGCCAGTCTTAAAATGAATACCCATTTTTCATACTGTTGTGATGCCTAAATTCACTTGTAGCCTTCAAACCGATTTTAGTTTTTAGTATTTATTTTTAAATTATAGACAAAAAAAAATCAGTATGAGCCAAATTTTCAATATTGCATGGTGCATGCATATAAAATAATATTTCAGATGCGTGCTAAAAATAACGTGGAAGGGTTAGCAGTGCAGCACATCGCAAATAGAAAGTGAAATAGGGTGCACTGTGGACACTTTCCATCTTTGTTGATTTATACTGAGAACATTCTAGTTTTGATGCACCGCTCATATCCAGTGTTGACATGATGCAAAAATTTGATTCATGGACTAATGATAAGCTTTCCTCCTATGCGACAAGCCATGCATTTGACCAGTTTAGCTTCATGGACACGTGACAGTGGAGACCTTCTCACCGGCTCTGATATGTCTCTCTGACAGGCAGCTTTGAATGACGGTGCGTTAAATTAACCCCTCTGAGCCCTTAGGCTATTTACCCATAGAACACATTAGAGTTCCTCTAGCGAGAAGCACCTGCTTAGAGTTTACCTGACTGGCAGCATAATCCAGGGAGGGACTTCAGGCTCACCAGAAGCCATTGAATGTACAGGAGCAGTTATTGAACGGTAATCCTGGCAGACTTCCTCTGTTTCACATCTGCATTTGAGAAGACTATGTGCATCTTTCTTGACTTGGATAACCATCTAAATGGAGGGGAGGCGCTTGGCATTTTTCCTGAGGGGATTAATTATATAGGAGTCTTTGAAGTGAAAAGCGCAGGTGCCTCTGCCAGCTTAGGAGCTTACTATGAGTGTGTAAGGTGTGATGGCAGTGTCTGCAACTAGGAACGATCTAGTGCAAGGTGCTTTTCATTAATAGATCTCACAAAATCCATATTCTTCAAAAGAAGAACTGCCCAAGAGTACCTACTACTTACCTTTCAAATATCTAAAACTGTTGTGCTCTTGTACATAAGTAAAACAGTTGAAATTACTACACTTTCAAAAAATAGCAAAAGTGTATATTTATATTTACCTTCTTTACCCTTAAAGCGTTCATAATAGTACCATAAAATTACATATTACTACAATTTTTGTAAAATTATTACATAAAATAAATGGTTAAAGTATTTGTAAAGTTTTTCTTTTTTTGCGTTTTGCGTATGCAACATGTAACACATTGCTTCAGTGTTTTTACAGAAAATCATATCTTATTGACCTGAATGTCATAAATTCTTATTTTTTACAAGAAGAAAACATGACCTTTGTGAAGTATTTATTTTAATACTTAATAGACATTATAATGCATGTTTGTAATATTAAAATAAAAAATCTGGTTTAAATTTCCAACAAAAATCAAAGTCGTTATGAAATTAACCATGATGATCAGTGCGGCTCCCATGAAAAAAATAGTGAAGACCACTGTGCTAGGGTGTTGTGTGTGGTTGCTATGCGGTTGCTAAGGTAATATGAGGCCGTTTCTATACAGTGTTGTGGTTTCTTATTAGCCCATGACAACAGATTCGAACCCAAGTATGAGATTCCATTCAGTTTAAGTCTGGAGGTTTTTTCACCCATCTTATCATCCGCCAACGCTTAGAAAAATAATGGCATTCCTCTCCTCAACAAGCCACATGGTTTAAGGTGTCATCCAAGTCTGTATCACAAAGTGCGAGAAAGATTACACATTTAATATTCAGTATTATATGTTGGTTGAAATCCTTAATTGTTAATAATAGCAGTAGTGCTGCTTGCCTTGGCGACCAAAAGGAATTCTTTAGTTTATTGTTTTACAGTCCCTTTTGTTGCTTGCTTTAGTCAGTTTAGTGGATCTCTAAGGGTTCGATTGAATTTGGTCCCATGTTTTTAAAGAAAACCATTGGGTCTGTTTGCATCACGTTTAAAATCCATTCCATAAAACTCCACTCCAGATTTTATACTGTAATCCTGCATTGGCTCTACTTTCTAAAACAGTTTTTTTCCCCTCTGTCTCTCTCTCTGTATGGTGGGATCATGGGGATAAGTTATTGGTCTCTGGGCTTGGGGGTTGGGTGCCGAGCACGCTTAAATGGACCGTGCATTACTGTGTTCTCCTCTTTTCATTTTCCAAACACATAGACCAGTACCTATGTGTATATATATATATATATATGCACAAATATATCAAACTTCAAATGCGTGTACTGCATGACGATTTTTATTTTACCTGTGACATTTAATGCTGTGCAGAGCTAACACAAGGTTTTAAAACAACCAACGTCAGCATTACGTAGTGACACATGACTGGCAGTTGCAGGTGGAGGCTAGATGACATCATAACTGTCAGGCTATGATGTTATTCTTGAATGAGACCAAGGTTTCATATTTAAAGTCATTTAAATCAGTTATTAGAATTGTCATGATGTCATATTCTTCAGTTTTTTTCCTCATTGAATACTGTTTCACTCAATCCCATTATGGAAGTAAATTGGTTTGCGAATGGCATTTTTAATGTTGGCTTTAAATGAATATCATTTTAAAATAAATGCATTTAGCAGATGCTTTTATCCGAAGCGACTTACATTGCATTAGTGCGTTCAAAGCAGATTTGATCGGTTCATGCATTCCTTGGGAATCGAACCCATGACTGCGGTGTTGCTAGCGCATCGCTCTACTGTTTGATCCATGGGAAAGCTATTCAAATATTGTTCCGTTTGTTCATTTACATCCATAAAGACCATTCATAAGTAGGACATTTTCATGTTTCCTCATCGAGACAGAGTTGATGTTTGGCTGTCTGGGAATCGTGATGCATATTTAATCCTCTGTCTACTACAGAGTCGTCCTGGGTTTGGGCGTTAACACGGTTCATTTCTGTGGTGCCTCCATCTAAACCATTTGAATAGCTGAAGATTTACTCTAAAGGTATATGGACCAAACAAATCGATCCTAAAGTGCATTATGAATGATAGATTAATGACCTGTCAGAGCAATATTAGCTTTATCGTGTGGCACAGGGGTGTGCTAAATTAGCATGTTTGTGTTATATGTGTACTAAATGATTTCCTCATTGAGGAAATGCTCATCTTACAAACGCCTTTGTCCCCTGACCAGTGTCATTTGAACTAGACACATTGAGCTCAGGCTCCAGTGCTGATACGCTTTGTTTACTTACTCATATAGGCTCATGCAAATGGCTGGCCATATTACAGCCAATAAATGTTTCAACTGTGAAGCTACTGTATATGTAGCATTTTTTTTTTTAAATATACATGTTTGTCCTCATGATAATGGGATTATTTTGATTGATTATTATGTTGTTATAAACAGATACCTCATTGTCATTTTGTCTCTCACAGCATCATATATGAGATGAGTCAGTGGCATAAAAATGCAAATGCATTGTTATTTTCTTCTTCCTATTTATATTTTGTTGGCTTAATGCGAGTAATATTCCATATACGCCTCTTTTTTTTTTTTATAAAATACATTATTGTTACAATTCAGTAGGTTAAGAGATGATGTACTGGCATGTAATTCTGCAATGCCAATTTTTACTTGCATTTTGTAATGTTCGAGTTAATTTATGTCAGCTCTTTTAAGATTATCAGTATCAACCGATAGGTTTTCCTGCTTGGTTGATTAACAAAAATATGTCATTTACTGATAGCTTGACAAATGTGAATAATACACAATTTCTGGGTTTTTCTTTTTGGTTAATTTTTAGATAATATTAAGTATTTTACAAAACTGTGCATGTGCGTATGTTTATTTTAGTTCAGTAAAGTTTCAGCAAGTTGTTTTATGTTATTATTATAATTTTATTGCATTTATTTATTTGGTTATGTATTAATATTTTATGTATTTTGATTTGGCCTAGACGACGTGTCTGCATCCAATAAAATTACAAAAGTCATTTTATATACATAGAAAGCATATTAAATGCAAGTCACGTGTCTACTTCAATGCTTCAAATAACTTGTGAAAATAAAATGTCAAAATATGAGTGAAATAAGGTTCTATTGTCATTCAGTGTGTTACATATATATTTATGTAAAATTGAAACAACATACATGTGACCTGTACTTATTAAAATACATTGTAAAAAAATAAATACTAAATTTTATTACATTTTAAATGATTTAAAACGCCTTGCCAACAAATGGGTAAAACCCCTTGGATTGAAGGATAGTGGCAAAGATAGATAAATATTTAAAAT